AAGGTGAACTCCACCGTCTCGTCACCTATCTTCATCGTAAGACGACCAGCACGAACATGAACCACCGCATCGGCCGTGTTTAAGAACGGGCGGCCTAGTATAATCGGTAGAGTCCAATCATCTCCGAAACCTGTAACTCTGCAAAACTAGAGCACTTCTTCCCCGTCAATTTTGTCATTGGTTTCGCCAGTTTGGCAAAACTTTCCACGAATCGACGATAATAGCCTGCTAATCCTAGGAAACTCCGGATCTCCGTGGCATTAGCAGGCGTCTTCCACTCAATAACAGCTTCGATCTTTGCTGGGTCCACCTGAATTCCACGAGCGGAGACTACGTGTCCAAGAAAGCCAATCTCCTGTAACCAAAATGCACATTTGCTGAACTTGGCATACAGATGGTTATCCCTCAGACGTAGCAACACTTTCCGCAAGTGCTCTTCATGACTTTGTTGGTCTGGAGAATATATCAGAATGTCATCAATGAAGATAATGACGAATTCGTCCAGATAATCCATGAATATTCGGTTCATCAATTGCATGAAGACTGCTGGGGCATTCGTGAGTCCGAACGGCATGACAACAAACTCAAAGTGGCCATATCGTGTACGGAAGGCTGTCTTCGGTACGTCCTCCACCTTCACACGAATCTGATGGTATCCTGATCGTAAATCAATCTTGGAAAACCACTTTGCTCCCTGTAACTGATCAAGTAACTCATCAATCCTTGGTAATGGATACCGATTCTTGATGGTTACTTGGTTAAGTCCTCTATAGTCAATACAGAGTCGCATAGTGCCATCCTTCTTCTTCACAAATAGTACGGGTGCACCCCAAGAAGATACACTGGGTCGAATGAATCCCTGCTCCACTAATTCATTCAATTGTTTCTTCAACTCTGCCATCTCCATGGGAGCCATCCGATATGGTGTCTTGGATATCGGCTCTGTACCCGGTATCACATCAATAGAGAAATCGACTTCTCTCTGTGGTGGTAGTCCAGGCAAGTCGTCTGGAAATATATCCCCGAATTCTTGAACCACTGGAGTGTCCTCAAGCTTCCCATCAACTTCCTTTGATGCAGTAATCACGATGAGAAAGGCATGACACCCTTTTCGAACCATGTTTCTAGCTCGGAGGGCTGATATAATCGGGAATGACGTTTGTACCTTGTCCCCAACGAACTCAAAATGTCCCGTCGAATCCGTAAATTGAATAGTTCGTCGACGACAATCAATGTGTGCTTGATACGTGTGTATCGAGTCTAAAATATATAACCTGATTCACAACTCACCGCAAGGATACGGATCGTCGTAACACGGGGTCGAACACGAGGACCGGATGCTTAATCCAAATCTAGATCGAAAATAGATCAAAGCAAGCAAGCAAGTGATGGTGGAAATATGTAGAATCAATGGAAAATAATATAAGAAAGTAAATAAAAACGAGTGACCTATCAAACAAGGATGACTACGGGTGTCGGGATCGTATTCGCGTGTATGGGTATTTACTAAGCATGCATGAATAACGATTATGACTTGTATTCGGGAATCATCAAGCAAGAAAGATAGAGAATTCACCTCTCGGTCTACTAACTCCCTACCTACAGAGTAACTCGTCAATCTCTCGATCTATTCAAGTTAACCCTAGGTGCATAAAGAACGCTATCATCAACCCTAGATCGATTAAGCCATATCTCTGTGTGAATAATACGATCTATCCTATTGATTTTGATCCGAAACAAACCCATATCTCTATGTGGTTCAGAATCCAAGATAATTGATCAAGGGGTTAGCAAACATCAATCCAATAAAAGTGCAAATCAATAGAACCGAATCAAATCAAAACCGAAATCCAAGTTAGGGTTCAAACATACCCAAAACACATACGAATCCCTAACCCATAGTCGTGGATCTACTCACGGTTCATAGAAAACAATAGAAAGAACAGAGAAGAAGAGATAAAAGAAAGGAGAGAAAAGCTCATGTAGATGTGTAGTCTCCACGATCGAATCTTCCTTCTTCTTCCCGAAATCCCGTGAACTTCTATTCTTCTCTCCCCAAAAACTCTCCAAAAATCTGTATCTAGGTGTTCTCTAATGTTCTCCCCTCTACTAGGACGTGGCTAGGGCTTTTTTATAACCCTAGGGTGGCTCCCAAGAGTTCTAATCCCATTCCAATGCTGAAAATCGCGAATTAGGGTTTCTGGTTGGATCCGGACCGATTCCAGGTGGATCCGGACCGGATCCAGATTCCTGGGGTCGAGTTGTGCGTTCCTGATCCGGACCGATTCCAGCCGGAATCGGCCCTGCACCGGCAGTTCTCTGGTCTTCACGAATTCGCTCATAACTCTCTGCTCCGGTGTCGGATTTACGCGATTTTGGTGTCTACGCGAAGCTCTTGAAGTGCTCTTTCCAATGGTATAGGTCTCGCACGATTTGGACCTCTGTAGAGAAAGTTATTGATGTCGCAACATGAGTACCTCATCCGGACTTCTCCTTTAACGCTCCAATTAGCTCCTTTTCGAGTCCAATCATCTCCGAAACCTGTAACTATGCAAAACTAGAGCACAACCGGGTTTTGTATCCTAACACGCCTAGAATGCCTATGAATGTATGTGATTATCCTATAAAACCTAGACAAACTCTCATCAAAATATAGAGAAGAATAGGAGTTATCAGTGAACCATCTATACTAAGTACTAACCCTTTAGATTATATATACATAGATTTTAAAACAATACAAAGATTGAAGTTTAAGGTTCCATTTTCCTTTTACTAAAATCAGTTACGTCGTGAAGGAGGTTTTGAGTTTTGCCAACACACTCTATCGGTATCCACACAATAGGTTGAAATACGATTGAAGATGTGTGGGATAGGATTTTTCTTTAAAACAAATGTCACTTAAATTTATGTTTTTTTAGAAAAATACTCTTATATATATTATTTAAAACCGTAGTAATAAAATAGAAGAAATCTCTTTCCAAGATAACTTATTTTAATTTTGAAAAAATCTCATATTTCTCTTTTGTTAATATTTTCAATTCTTAAATCAATTTTTAATTTGACAAAAACTTACACATGAATTCAAAAGTTTCCGAAATACCACACTAAATCGCAAAATATATTGCAATTTCTCCGGTAAATATAGGTTTTCGCAATTTCTGTCTGCTTTGACTTTTAGGAATTTCAATGATTTAAACAATTTTGGTTTAGAGAATTTGAATTTTTTGTGATTTAAATAATTTATGTTTCATATAATAGGATTTCGATGCAGTTATGTACGATATTGAAACACATTTTGCGATTTGGTGTGAGATTATGAAATTTTTTGAATTTTTATATAAGTTTTTGCCAAATTAAAAATTGATTTAGAAGTTGAGAATATTAACAAAAATTCATGGGGAATATGGGATTTTCTCTTAAGTTTTGGAACTCTTTGCAAAAAAAAAAAACGAATAATTCGCCAACTGAATTGGTCGGCCCGAGCAAGTTCTCTGTACAAAAACGAACAGTTTTTTCTCAGGATTTACTCGGCCGAGCAAAGAGACCGCTAAACTCTCGTACCAAGATTATGTTTTGGTTGTCGGAATACAGTTAAGACGAAATATAAAAACTTTGTACGTCGATGTTTTTTATTAGCCACTGACTGATACATTCACACATTAGTTCATCAAAGGGACAGACACTGTCTTTTGCTCTTGTGAAGCTGAGGAAACATAATGACAAATCACTGAATTCCATATATACACGAACCAGGAAAAAGAACAAACCCCCTTTACATTGTTTGCTTTTGTCTGATTTCTGCAAATCCAAAGCTTTACCTCAGGTATCTGCTTACAGAAAGTACGCAACAAATGATCAAAAAGCGAAGATTTTCATTTCGGTTCGATCTTTGAAGACGGGAAAATCCCGCTGTACTCGAAGGATCCCTTGCCGTAAGGATTACTCGATCCTTTGCTCGCTTCATCGTAGGTCCTAGAACTCGATGCTGAATCCGTGTTGGGATTCACACCGACAATCTGCATGATGTTTTCGATCTCTTTCACCACCTCGCCCATCGACGGCCTGCCTTCCCGGGACTCCTCCACGCACGTCAGTGCCACGTCGACAAACCTTTCGAACCCTTTCAAGGTTGTGCTCACAATGATCGACGGGTCGAGGATTTCTTGCAGGTCATACAAGTTCCTCGATTTATCCATCTTCGCCTTTACCTCCTTCACGACATATTTTCCTCGCTCTATAGGCTGTCTCCCGGTTAATAGCTCCAACATTACCACGCCAAAGCTGTAAACATCGCTCTTTTCCGTCAACTGCTGCGTCATGTAGTACTCCGGATCCAAGTAGCCCTGCACCACGACAGAAAAATCGCCTCTCAGGAGAGATTTAAACGATGAATTTATGTAAAGAGCCACTATGCTAACTGAAACATTCTGATCCAAAGGGTGGGTTACTCACCATGGTCCCTTTAACTTGGGTGGTGACATGAGTTTTCTCAGGGTCACCCACGAGTTTGGAAAGACCGAAATCGGCAACCTTTGCGGTCAGAGTATCGTCGAGTAATATATTGTTCGATTTAACGTCCCGGTGTATGATCGGAGGATCGGCAAGCTCGTGAAGATATGCCAGTCCTCTTGCTGCACCAAGTGCTATTTTCAGTCTTCTTGTCCAATCCAAACTGATTCCACTCTTCCCTGCCACAGAGATCAGATTTGTGTTTGGTCTCTACACTTCCAGTTTCAGACAAAAAGGGAAGAAAGATCTGTCCAAATGATTAGTTATCGACCAAGGAAAAGAGTTAGTTACCCGATAGACTGTCTCTCAGAGAGCCGTTTGGTATGTACTCATAAACCAGTATTTGTTCACCTTGGTCGAAACAAAATCCCAAGAGCCTGACGACGTTCTTATGGTGGACACGGGAAAGGAGCTCGATCTCGGTTTTGAACTCTAGCCCTCCCTGCAAAGATCCTTGTTGAGCTCGTTTTATTGCGATGATCTCCCCAGACGGGAGAATTCCTCTATAAACCTGTACGAGAAAGAACACGAGTTCAAGGGAAAAAGGTCATGCGTCCGAAAATGTCGCAGAAATGAACTCATGGGGATGAACTCTAGGCGCTTGGCTGTAGGTTAAGAATATTGTTTACCTTGAGAACCTTTAAACATTTCAAATTCGATAATGGAAGGCCATACATTTGTATGCGCAAAAGCGAGAAGTTAGTAAAAGAGCGTTAGACCGACCTTCCCATAACCCCCGATCCCTATATTGTTTGTGTCTGAAAAGCTGTCAGTATATTTCTTCAGCTCCTCGAATGTAAAAGCTTTGGCTCCCGTTAAACGAGGAGCGTCAATGCTGTTCTTACTGGTGTCCCATTTCGCTGCATATGGAGATTTTCGTGCAGTAAGAATCTTTAAGCACTGTCATGTGTGACACAGATCTTGTCTGAAAAGCTCTTCGTCTTACCGAAAGGATTACTCTGTTCTGTTGCTCTCTCTGCTCTCTTCTTCTGATGATAAGTGTAGATACCAGCTATGGTTAACAGCAACAGCAGAACAATGCCTCCAATTACAGCTCCGATGATAATGCCCGTGTTGGACGACTTGGACCCGTTTCCTCCATCTAGAAAGAAAGCCGGAATATTTTCGGACATGTCGATAGTATCTTTTTCAAGAATTCTGTATATAATGCTTGCTCGTACCTGAGAAGTGAGTGTACTCGTCGCCCCTGAAAACGTAAGGTCCGTAAATATCTGGCGGCTTATAAGTCTGATTGCTAAGAGCAAAGCCGACAGTTGAGACTCCCGTACGATTAAAACTGTCCTGGCCGGATGGAAAGATTCTCAGGCCTATTAGAAGCTGGTGATTGGTTTGATCCTCTCTTGGATTGCTGAGAGAAACAGAATCCACGGGATAACGGTATCGCTGGAAGAAACTCGTTATGTTTTGCTGAAGAACCACAAAGTAGGTCGAGTTGACGAATCCCGAAAACGAAGGAGACCTGAAGAATATGGTTCCTGTGTATGGATATGCACAACTGCACTTGGGACTAGAAATCATTCCCGAGCCGCATTGAAGAAGAGCTATGCAGTTTTCCGGAGAGGTGGAAAAAGATGAATCGGGTTGGATAGCCGAGCAATAAGTTGGCTTTTGCCCGGATTCTCGGCACACTGGATTATCCGCCAATCTGCGGGTAATAAAACAAGAAATCGGTGTTTAACCAGAGACAAGATTGACATGTAAGTTCTTTCAAATGGCAAAGCATTGCAAAATCAGACAACAGAAGGAAGAATGTCTTTACATTACTCGAATGCTGTTCTGAGCTCCTTGTCTGTATACAGATATGCCATTGCCCTGTAGATCAACGGATTCCAACTGGCTGCTGTAGTTACGGCCAAAGTCCAAGGTGCCGTTTAGTTGATTAAGTCGTAGAGTCCTGTAATGCCCGAGCAAAACACCTTTTCAGTATGGATTTCACAGTTCAGAGATTTGCCAATGGAACAGTGACATGAAAGTGGATTACTCACACAGTCTGCAAATTAGGAGGACTGAAGAGAGAGGTTGGAATTGGACCTTGGAGTTGTATATCTTCCATCCTCCTGAAACGCTTAATTAGTTGAGACACATGGAGGTGGGAGAGAGAGAGAGAGAGAGAGAGAGAGTTGTTCATACAATGTTGACAGAGACTGTAACCCAGAGATCCATGGTGGAATCCCTGATGGGTCAAAACTGTTATTGCTGAGGTCCCTGTGACATTACAACCACATAGAGGCATGAACGTTTGAACCACATGGAAGAAGAAAGAGGTTTAAGATCGTATTTAACGCTTACAGTGTGTAGAGGCTGATCAAGCTGGTTAGATTTGGGAGGCCACCAGTGAAGTTATTGTTGGCCAAGTACCTGAGGAAATGAGTTCACTGTCATATATGAGTATACATACATACAAAGCAAAAGCCTAAACTCCAATAAAACACACCAGAAGGACAAAACTAAAACTACTTGGGGCTTCCACTACAGTACAGTTCACTTACAGTTCGCTAAGACTTGTCAGATTATTAAGACTGGACGGAACGCTTCCGCTCATTGAATTCCTGTCGAGGCGCCTGTAACAAATGCAGAACAGAAGTTGAATAGCCATCTGAATTCTAAGCAAAAACAAGCAGCCACATAAACTTAGTTTTGCTTACACCACTTCCAGAGATTTAACGAGGCCGAGGCTGTCCGGAATTTTTCCTATCAGTTGGTTGCCATCAAATAGCCTGTCAACAGAGAGGAAGACATGTTATATATATATATATATATATATATATATAGAAGATGTTCCTATGAAACAGTTTTGCTGGTTGAAAACAGTAGCATTAGCCATAACCATCAAAGCAATTTCAAGCACAAAAACCGGGAAATCAAATGGAGCATACACATGTAACAGGGTCATGCTCGAGCTGAAGAGCTTTTCCGGGATTTCACCCGAAAGCTTGTTTTGTCCAAAATGACTGCAAGAAGACAAACGCTGAGTTATCGCTTGCTACCTTGGATTAAAGATGGAAACTGCATAGCAGCAAAAGGGGACTTTTCAACGAGAATGCGGATACGAGAGACGGAACATCGTACAAGTGCTTTGTATTGACAAGCATGTCGAGGCCCGGTGACGTTCCATCTGATACTGGAATGCTTCCTTCGATCCGATTGTCAGCTATATCGAACCAATAGAGATCTGATAACTGCCCAAGAGAAGGTGGGATTCTTCCACTAAATTGATTCGAATTCAATGATCTGCCATGGGGGAACAGAAGACTATTGAGTATGTTTTGTACACCAATAAGCCGGACCGGCGAAAGATAAAGCCAAGCTAAAAACTTACAGATATACCAACTGAGAAAGGGAACCGATCGATTCAGGAATTGGACCGGCGAACCCACAGCCGACAAGGATCCTGGAAGTGAGAAGAGAGACAGAGACAAGAGTTATACGGTCAGAGGCAACTAGGAAAAGACAGAGCTTCTTTTTGTCGGATGATGAACTTCGCTTACAAGTTCTTCAACTTCTTCAGCTGTCCGATTGCCGATGGGAGTGTTCCAGTCAAACCAAGGTTGTAAGACAAATCCCTACGACAAAATCCCGTTGAACAAAGTGAGAACAAATTGATCATCGGAGCATAAAAACTACGGTATCAAAATTCAAAAGGGAAGACCAAAACTCGGGACCAAGTGCATAACCGTGTAGATGAACATTCTGACTCGGAACAACAACAACATCGTCTTAATCCCAAGTTTATACAAAGACGGATATATGCACGAATATTGTAAAGTAGTCAAAGCATAAAATACTCACAGGATCTGCAGTTCAGACAATGCTGAAATGTCTCCAGAAAGCGTTCCCTTCAAATTCATGTTCGCTAGTGATCTGAAACGCGCAGAGATCGTGATAGTTCTCCGGAATATACAGCCGACAATGGCGTGTATATATATATATATGTATATATATTGGCAGGAAACTCACATAGACGTCACACGGCCATTCGTGCATGAAATTCCGACCCAACCGCTTCCACAAGGATCTGAGCCTTTCCAGTTTGGTGGGAAATTCTTCCATTCATTCATCAGAGCTTTCAAACCAGCACCTGCAAATGTTACAATAGTGGCTCCTAATGTTCACTATGCCGATCCTATGACAAAATTTCTCGCGGAAAATCATCCAATAGCGTCTCTACGTGAAACCATCCACCAGAAATGTACGAGGGAATCGAAAAACACTTACTGTCACCACTATTTGTCTGAGATGTTACAGAACAAATTTGGACGGAAGCCATCATGAGGACGAGCAAGAGGGTTCGAACTCTTGAACTCGAACTCATGTTTCAAACCAAAACAGAAACCCACGAAGATCAAAAGCAGAGAATCGTCTTTTCTTGAATTTGCCGAAACCTCCTAGCAATCATTAAAGAAACCCACATGTGGCGAACACACAAGTGTGCCTTTAAAAAACATATACACTAACAAAATTGGAAGACTTTGAACAAAGAGGCAGGAGCTTGGGAAGACAAAGCTTGTAAGAAAGCGGCGATTGACCATTCAAACTTGGTCAATTCACATCGGCAATATTATAACAACACATAACGAAAGTGATATATATGAAGATTTTAAAAAAGGGCGTTTACGAAGAAGACACCTACCCAAATACTCGGGCCAAATCGCAAGACAAAACATTTAAAAAAACCCAACCTTTAGCAAGAAAGGATAAATGAGTTGTCTTGATACAGTCGTGTGGGTCCCCCATCGAGTAGTTGGTCAAGTAGGGTTTTAATAGTGTAATAAATTCTTCAAACTACAAACGGTATAATATCTTCGAATATCTAATGACGATCTATGAAGTTCATCGGGATTTTTGTCTCCACTATATCTTTCAAAAGACCGTAAAATTTTATGTAAATATTTCTCTCGAGAATTCGAATCCGGATTACGAAGGAGATTTGATTCATTTTTATTAGTTGAATCACCCAATTTTGAATATAAAAAAAACTAAATTAAAAATGATAGAGATATAATTGAAAAGAGCCGTTTAGTTTTGGCTGGAATTCAAAGTCTAAAAAATGTAGAGATAATGCAGAAATCTCCTAAATATTATTTTAGACTTCCCTAAATATTAGCTAAATTAAAAAGAAAACTATGCAAAACTAACGAAACCTAAGATTCTACAAGAAAATAAAACAAATAATTAAAATAAAAACTTCCTATTCTATGGTAATAGTTTTACCAATCAATTAACTTCAACGGCCTATAATCACTAGCAAAGACACTAAAAAAGTATATATGCATTATTAAAGCAGCAATAATACAATTAATAACTTACCCAAAAATAATAATAATACAATTAATAGAGTCGTTTGATGGAGTTAACAGAGAGAACAAAGTCAACATCTATGAGGCGAATTAGCACGAGCCATTTATTATCCCATTAGATAATAATACAGCAACCAAAACAAAACCCAACCTGATCATCTCTCTCTCTCATACGTCATCATTTTCGGTTTAATACAAAGTAAACCGAATAAAACTAAACCGTACAAACCGAACCAAGCTTGATATTAAGCTCAATTTCCCCGAACCAAACTGAACCAGACCGTACAAACCAATTTCAGTTTAGAAGTCTTCTCTAAAGTAGATTTGAAGAGCATACAAACTCTGAATCACACAAAATTTATAAACCTAGGTCCGAATTAAACCAAATTCAAACCGGTTTTGTAGTGGACCAAAATCGAAACCATGTAAATCCTTGCTCACGTCACCCTCAATATCACATATACCATTTTGTAGTGGACCGCATACTTTTCAATTGAATAGGCTTCGGTATTCACACGTGCAATTACTGGTTCAAAGAAATAAAAAAAAACAACAAAGTGGCTTCGTTTCTGACCAAAATCCAAAGTCTTTATGTAATTATTTTAATCAACCGAGAGAAAAAAAAAAATATTGACAGGAAGATCAATTGGTTGTCTTGCTCGCAAGCTTTGAGAAACAGCGAGAAAGAAATAATTAATTTTTCTATATTATTTTTACAAGGAAATTTAAAAAAAATACTTGAAACAATAATTTCATAATTTTTTAGAGATAATTATTATATATTATTATTCAAGAAATATATAAATCTGAAACCGTAACAATAGTTCTAAGATTTAATTTTATTATTAATTTCATATAATTAATCTTTCGATTAAATTCATATTTTTTCATTGATAATAATTAGAGTTATTTCAAAAAATTGAAAATTAATTATATTTCTAATAAGATTTTTATAAACTTGGACTCTTTTCAAAAAAAAAATTTTATTATTAACAATAAATATTATTAAAAATAAAGCTAAAATTTTTAATTACTACAAAAAGAATTTATAAATTTTATTGATTAAATTTGATGATATACGCAAATTCCAAAAAAGTTTGACCTCCACCTTTTCCACTTTTAAATTCTGCACAATGAAAATGCTATTTAGAATAGTTTTAAAATTTAAAATTTTTATTAAGCATAGTGTTCAGATAATTGTTTTCTATTTTATTAATAATTTCATTTAATATTCTTATCAAAAAATTTATATTTACATTTTACACAAAAATACATTTCTGTTAAGATTGTTCCCATTATTCTATATCAATATAATTTGATTCTTATTGAAATCTTTATATTTACATTTTATAGAAATTTTAATTTTTGTGAAGAATATTTCTTGGTTCCACGTTTTTACTAAAAATAGTCTCAGAAAATTAAGAAAACTAAAATGTTCAATATGGTGATACATAATAATTCACAATAGTTCTAATTTGATAGTTCTTTCTTTGTTTGTAAGAAAATTATTAAAAGCATATCCACCGGAACAGTGAGGTTAATTCGATGATCGGAGAAATTTCGGCTTCACAGGCCCCGACGGCAGTCGCGATCGTTTCAGGTTTTTTACAAGAGACGATCGGAATTATGATCGGAGCCGTCGTCGCCTCCGCCAAGCCCGGTAACTTTCACCTTTTACTTTTCATTTTCACGTGAACCTTCGTTGTCCGATTCGTATCGAGTGGAGGTAATTCGTAGAATCAGACATCATAGTACCTTGAGGTGTTGTTAGGTCAGAAAGGGGATTCGAATCTGCTTGAATACTGGTTCTGTTTGGACTCGGCGCAACAAATTCCGTAGCTTATATCGGAGGAACTTGTTCACTTTGCACTTTGTATTTTTTGAATTCAGACATTTCTGATTGTCGATGATTGATTTTCTATCTTCGGAGAAGCAAAAATAATGGAAGTAAATTGTCTTGTTCGTCACTGTTTGGATTGAGTCTTAGCATTGAGCGAATATCTGGAGGCCAAATTTGTTCAGATTGCAAGAATATTGCCTATAATAATCACTTTGATTACCCACTTTGAGGCATGCCGATGTCCTTTGGAATCCTTACGGATTTTGCATCCGGAGATGCATTGAGCTTTAGTACTTGCCATCTCGGGTTCAAGTTGCAATGGTCGACATGATTGAATGTATAAATTTTAATAAAAGTGCTCTGAATTCATGTTTCTATGCTAGGATTGTTGTGTTTCAATTGTCGTACGAGCAAATTTAGCGATATCCTCTTGTGTACTGTTATTTATCTAATTTTTTGCTATGAATTTCTCCTAGCACATTTGAGGTTTCTGATGAGTTTGCATTGTGTGCATGAACACGTAGTGCTGAAACAGGAATTATTTCCCATGCTAGAGGTTGGAGTTACACGACATTTATCTATATTCTTAGAGAACACGAAAAATATCATGAAACTCTTATGAGGTTTTTTGTCCTTCAGTTTTATTGCATGATATATTCTCTATTGTGACAGAGTTAGGATATTCTGAGCTAGTTATATTCTACCTCAATCTTTGTCTATTTTGTGTCGATTTCAATTTTTCATATGCAGATTGGTTTAGCATCAGCTTATAGACCTTATTTAGTGAATGTCTGGGCAAACTATTGTATGAAATCAAACACATGGTAAAAATACTGCTGGCCAAGAGTCTCGGGAGAAAGAAAACAACGGGGACATAAAGGGCTGCTAGCAAAGGAAAGACGAAAGGCGCAAAAAGAATGGGGAGCTAGTCCAATTCCATTTATCAGCGAATGAACGAAAGGATTGATTTGATTGGACAGACAGATAAAGAATTAACGAAAAGAACTGAACTGAAAATTGCTGTCACAGAGTTGTATCTGATTTTGAAAATCAACGGATGAGTTGTGGTTAGGGGTGAAATGCCGCTCGAACTTAGACCAAGTTGGTTCTCCCGAAAATGGGTTGAGGCACAGTAGTTGATGTCTTTGACCTTTTCACAACTGGGCAGACGTCAGGCACTTCGTAAGGAAATGGAAATCAGACACTCACTTCAGTATATAGGTTACATTCTTCTGCTTTCTTTCACTTCCTGCTCACTCTTCGTTGGAAATGTCTGTGTACATAGTTTTTTCCTTATTTGAAATACAGGAAGCGTGTTCTGGATTTTCAGTGGTCATGTTCTTGTCATTTTTGTCTTCTCTGTGTTGTATGGTATTTGATTTTAATTCTATGGCGAGGAGAGGAAACTTTTCACCAAGCATGTTTTGTGCAAGTGACAAGTTGATCTTCATGTTAAATACAAAATGTAGCCGTTTAATTTTTGAACTTTGTCGTACACGTTTCTTTTTGTGTCGTGAATGTCAAAGATATCGAAATCTCCTATCTCATCCCAAAGAAGGAAGGTGCTGTATCTTTTCTTGCAGCATGATTTATATGCATAACCCTTATCATTGTCGTTATCAGGTTTCATTCAAGCTTGAATTTTATCACCTTTATTCGTAGTACTGATGTGTCATTACGGGATCTCGATGGGGGCTTCCTAATGTGCAACTCTCGTTACTTGCTGATTCTTGCGGCTCTTTTGTTCAGCCTTTTGTAATTTGTTGCTAACTGGCGATAGTTTTTGCTTTTGGGATGATTGGACTGTTATTCATGGTGTTTTTGTTCTTTTGAACACACTCCACCATATCGTGTATGGCAATTGTTTCCCTTTGTGGCCTCTGCTATGCGATTCCGTTGGCTGTCTTAATTCAGCTTGCAAGATTCTGCTTTGATTGTATTTTCGTTACCTTTTTTTTGCTTCTTATAAGTTTTTTGGGTACATTGTTAATGGTATTTCTTACTTTCCAGGAGCTTTCTTTTTGTGTGGGTTTACATCACTTCACCGAGTGAGGAAACATTATAAAGCTTTTCTACCACACCCATCAATCATATGTAGTCTCTGTCTTCTTCTGCGCATTTCACGTCGGAGACCAACTATAATGCATAGTTTTTGGTGTGATATTCATTCATCTTCATTGTTGATAGTTGAAATCCTTATTTCAGAATCAGCGTGTTATTTTTTTTCAATCTGAATCAAAAGGACCTTAGTTTTGAAACTTTCATTTCTTTGATGTTTACAACTACTGACTTTGTCCATTCAGGGAATACCAGATTTGCGGAATAATGCATTGAGCTTCATCTTGCTTCATGTGTGAGAACTGTCACGGCTATATAATGGCAGACCTTCAGCATGTCGCCGACTTCGCTTGATGAAAAGCATCACATAGGGGTTCTTGCTGGGAAGACAGCGAAGCTAATGGACGGAATTTTGATGCTATCTGAAACATAGCAAAAAAAAGGGGTAAAGAAAACCAAACAGTTTCCAGCCGATTCTTGTCCCAAATTCGCGTTATCTGTGGAGGGGCCTTATGGCCGTGAATCTGCATACAACTTACTGTATGTTCTTCAATGGGTATCTTTTCGGTTCTCATCATCAGTACAATCAACAACTATACTGAAAACATTCTGGAGTATCTAACACGGATTCATACTCTTCTGAGTGCAGGTGAGAACCGTACAAGCAATGGGAGACACATAAACCTTCCCTTGGCAGCAGGTATAACACTGATTTCTTTGATCATCCTGGCCAAAAAAAAAACGGCCAAGCCCTCTCTTCTCTCGAGGATCAAGCGCTATGCACCATTGATATCTACTACGTCACGTGACAGTTAGAGCCAGCCGCGCCTTGAGAAGGTGACATATAGAAATTCGGCGTAACTCCAAGGTCTTGTGGTTGTTCTCTGGCATGTTTGGGGTCAGAAGACATTCGAGAGGGAAGCAGGTGGCAATGAGAAGGTGACATTGAAATGGACAAAACTGCAACGGATCTGCGCGCAGAACGCAAAGGCGTCTTCGAAAAGAGTCTGATCTAGAAGATTTCAACACTACCCTTTATGAAACGAGACATGATTTCAAAGGTACAAACCTTTTGTTGCCTTGATTCTTTTTCTGAACCCATCAAACGCATTGCGTTAACGATGCGTTGCAATTCACAGCCACACAAAAAGGATTCTCCACTCGGCATT